CCAAGTTCGGGAATCCGGTAAGAAAACCTTGTCGGAGTCATCTCTTCCCCATCGCTCTTAGCTGTTCTGTGGTCTCTCATACTCCACTGGCCCATTCAGCGATGAATCGTATTACAAGCAAGAGGAGCACGGCAAATCTCTAAGGGAAGAGACTGCTGACTGAAGAGGGTCAATGATGATTGGCAAAACTTCGGTGTCGAGTGGGCCCGAACCTCCACCGCTTGCGTAGGAGGCACCTTCCTTGCCACTACACCATGATTCACCACTTCAGACCAGATTTCCTTGGAACCAATAGCTTGTAAATCCTATAAAGCCGTAAAGACAACCCATATTTCCAAGAATGATAGTGGCTTTGGCGAAGCATTTCTCCTCGATTATGATTCTCCAATTTGTGAGTTTTTCATTTTGGACTGTTACCCTTTTTGACGTTAGTAGCTACTAGGTTAAGCAGCAGAACTGTTTGCCGAGCGCAACCCTTGGCTCGGCCGCTGGCCGGCAAGTGCTCGGCACCACCAACCCACTCGGATGGGTGTTCAGCGGTAAACTGTGCCTCCCCACCCGCCCACCAAAGGGCTCCTCAAAGCTCTATCACCATGTGTACCGTATATTTTAGTTAGTTACCCACCTGGGAGGTCTCTGAGAGGGAGAGTACAATGAAAAAAGGACTGTGGAAGAAGGGGGATGCAGACTTTCAAGTTGTGCACTTCGTTGTACCTGTCAACGAACGGCAGATCAATTGAGAGTCAAGATGGCTCGTCTAACAAGGTAAAGCGGTGCATTACGTTGAAGGGCCGCTCACAGGCACATGATCGTGGTTCGAAGCCAGAGGGCAGAGGATATGAAAAGAGTGCTAGTCTTAGTTATTTTTGGTGAAGTGCCGTACTGACTATCAAGTTGAGACTCTAAGCTTCGAACCGGTCTGGATCGGGTTCCCAAGAACAATCGATTTTGCTACCGATCAGTACCGTTAAATCGACATGAGAACCCCTCCCCGTGCGCGTTAAGAGCGCCGCACAAAGCGTCTTCACAAGTCGAAAAGTTGCATGCCCCTGCCTAATACAGCATCGATCATGTCATCATGGAATCTCCCATTCTCGCATGAGAAGATCGGGGACCACGCTTGGGCTGTACTCAAGGCCGAGCTTCCAGCAAGGAAAGCCTAGAGCGAAAGCGTCAACGCTGTCGAGCGCCATCCCACGCCCGGAGCCCATTTAGGGCTTCCAGGGATTGAGCTCTGAGGATGCATCAGTTCCCCATCGCGCTCGACTGATCCGCCTATCGATTGTACTCTACTGGCCCATTTAGCGGTGAATCGTACTTCAAGCAGGAGGAGCTGGGCAAATCACTAAAGAGAAGACTACTGACTGACTAGAGTAATTGGTGATTGGCAAAACTTTGGTGTCGAGCGGATCCGAACCCCAACCGTTTACGTAGGAGGCGCCTTTTTTGGCACTACACCACTCTTAACAGCAGACATACCTCAATGGGACCTATAGGACTGTTAATCATGGAAAAAACTGTAGGGACGACCTAGCGGCGATGCATTCAGCTTCGAATCGGTTTACATCGGATATGCATTGACAAGTGGTCTTACCACTCATAGGTAATCGCTTCGTGTCACGGGCACCCGAACCCATGCAAAAGGGGCTACTTGATGAAAAGGTGTGATCCAATCAGTCCGCGTCGACCGTGGCAGAAAGATGCTAGCCTTCTTCACCCGGACTCTAGGAAACCCTTGTACTGGTTATTCTCCCATTCGACCATTCACACGTGAAACGTATTGCAATCAGGTGGGTTGCTGCAAAACTCTAAAGAAGAGAAGGTCGACTAATAAGCCGTGGAATGGTGCTTGGCAAAAACGTATGCAGTCGACGGTCCCGAACTTCCACCATTCACATGCGAAACGCCGTCGCTGCCATTGCACCATTGTCGAGATCCAACACAGTCATTGTTCAACCCAATGAAATATGCGGTCCAAAACGTGCATTCAGCAGAAGCCTTGGAGATAAAGTACCCATACCTTTACGAATTCTCTTTAAGGTGGTATAACCCCTAAAATACCGCTTATCGAAGGAATTCACGAAGTAGTGCTAGGGGAGAAGAGGGCGGCAGACGGTCGGTAGATGATAGATTCGATAGATGTTGGACCCATCCAGAAATTTGAGAAAAACATCAGAACAAAAAACCACCATGTAGTCCCCGATCCAGAGACCTACCAGCACGAACGTTGACTGACTTGCCAGATCGGACAGAACAACGCGCTGTTGACATGCTGTGTTCGTGCAAGACAGCTACCTCTACGAACTTGGAAAAATTTACAATTTTTCTTGGAATTTGCGGAAAATAACCAGCTTGGCCGGCTTAAGCTGAATCTGGCTGAGTCACGTGCGTCCGCGTTTGAAAGCACTTCCTGGGCAGTGCTTCGCTGCTGGTCCTTATGTAAACCATGCTTCTCTTTTGCTTCCAAGCTTGATAGAATACTTTGAAGCCTATTGTTCAGCTACTTGCCCTCTTTACAAACCTGTTGCCATACCTCACCGAAACCAGCACGAAATAGCTTCCATGCGTCCACCTCTACTTTTTTTGTTCTTCAAACGTGCAGCACTACCCCGAAACAAGCTCACGGCCCAGCTTCACCCGATACCACCAGGCTACCACGGGCCTGGCCCGACTTTTTTCCAAAAATTCCTTCCAAAAAAATGCAGCATTTCCCCCCAAAATAACCCAGCCCCGGCATCACAACCCACTCGGATGGGTGTTCAACGGTAAACTCTGCCTCCCCACCCACCCACCAAAGGCCTCCTCCAGGCCCTAATACCATGTGTACCGTATAGTTGAGTTAATTACCCACCTGGGAGGTCGCTATGAAAGAGGGCACAAAGAAAAAAAGACGGGGGAAGAAGGGGGATGCAGAATACCAAGTTGTGCTCTTCAGTGTACCTCTCATCGGGTTCGAGTGGAACAAGGGGCTCACTGCGTTGAGGGGCCGTTCACATGCTCATGGTCGCAGTTCGATCCCAGTGACCAGAGGATTTGGAAGGATGTCTTGGTCATTTTTGGCAAAATAGCGTACTGACAATCCATTTCTGACTCGCCAAGCATAAAACTGGTCTACACCGGATTCCCGAATTCAATCATTGTTGCTACCGATCGGCACTAGTAAATCGCATAGGAACCTCCACGCCTAGCGGGTAAGGAGAACCGCTTGAAAAATGGCCCTCTTGAGCCGTTTCCAAGGACGCACATCCTATACGGAAACCGCAGAGCGAAAAAGTCAGCACCCTGGGCGTCATCCTATAGACCGCACTCCGTTCAGCGAATCGTGTTAGGGATTCGTAGGAAGCATCTCGCCCTCGTTTGCGTTCAATCGTTCGCTCATACTCCATTAGCCCACTCAGCGATGTATCGTATTACAAGCAGGAGGGGCGCGGCAAATCTCTAAAGAAGAGATTGCTGAGTAACGGGTAAATAGTGATTGGCAAAACTTTGGTTTCGAGTGGGTTCGAACCTCCACCGCTTGCGTAAGAGACACCCTCCTTGGCACTACACCATGACTCACTTCGTCGACCACATTTCCGTGAGACCAATAAGTCTGTAAATCCTATGAAATGCCGTAAAGACAGTTAATTTGTTCGAGGATGATTTTCGTGCATTAGTGAGGCATTTCTCCTCGATTGTGATCATCCAATTTGTGAATTTTTCATTTTGGGCTGTTACCATTTATCCCCTTATAGACGTTAGATGCTATAAAGTTATGTAACGATTACTGCCGGTTCTCCTGATCTCTGTCAATGATTTTCACGGAGCAGACGAGCAGTGGAGTGTACGGTACTGTGACTTGTCAATAGTCGGTGGGCACTGCTTCAGACAGCTTCGGCATAAGCGATATGGTGCCAGTCGCCCATTGCACAAGTCACCCCGATGAGCGCATTGTCAGCTTAAAACGAGGATAACGCGGACTAGTGCAAATCTTTTGCTCCGCTGACACTTAGTGGTACTGTGACGTCATTTCGAGATTGCAGGAGGCCGCGCCGCGCGCGCAGTGGGCGGGGTGACCTAGTTTCCACGGACGCGCGGAATGGACGTCCCCTAGATAACACGTGCTTGTTGTTTGTGGTGACACTTGTCATTAATTCATCGTCCTTCAGATGTGAGTCTAGTTCTCAAACAGTCAATAAGAAGAAAACTTTATTGCAATAACGGGGACATTCCCATAAAGTCCATCGCTTAAAAGTAACATTTGCAGATATGAATGAAAGAAGAGAGGGCTATTTTACATTTCATGGCACTCTAAGCATCCTAAGTAACCATTGAAACGACTGGTGACCAATATAACTGCGGTGATGGAGAAACGCTGACAGAGTCGATGAAGAAAGGTCAACAACTAGAACCGCCTATTTTCACTGGGTACTGTTGAAGAGCCCTACATAACTGCAACAATAACTTGAAGATGTAAGCTAGAACTATGTGAAAACACTATTATGATGGCCAGAAAGACAAAAAAAAACATCAAGGTCACTCAATGTTTGATAATTTCTAAGTAATAATGGGAAAGAAACAATATGAAAAAGTAATATCGATTATTACGCAAAGTAACCAATCAATAATTCNCTCCTTTATTTGTTCACTTAAGTAAAGACCGGACACATGGGTCGAATTCGTGGTGGACGCGCACGCGTAAAATCAATACCGATGTGGATTGTGCGGTCCCGCCCACATAAGTATAAATCCACGCCGGAGTAATCAACAGTACACTATGTAATCCAAACTAATGTATTCAAGAGAAGATTCTTGTAGATATTTGGAGTAGAGATCGAGCCACGCACTAACTTTTGTTGAAAAGTCGTAGAAGTGATTGGAACTGGGCTAGCAATGTAAGAGAGGGCACTGCCCTTCCACCACTGAAGTACCCAGGAATATCAGTAGCTGCGTTTGCGCTCTCCACCTTCTCCACCCCCATTTTCATTTAAGACACACCCTTTTTTGAATTACACCCCTTTTTGGCGTATGTTTAATCCATTTGCATGGTAACTGTTCAACGTCTTACCGTAACCGTTCGTTGATAAAATGCATGGTCCTAGAACGACAACTATGACTTTCTGGTGTCATCCACATTAAGATTGCCGTTGATCAAGTTCACGTAGTTCATCGCTATGTTTTGCTATTTCTTTGTTGGTTTTCTTCGAATCCGGTCGACTGTTCAGTAACCGACAAGTAAGTCGCGTCATCGCATCTGAAATAGTTGTCGTTAAAGGCATCCATGACCAGTATCAATGTATATGGGAGGAGTCAGACCACCAAGTCACCTTAGTGGTTCCCTTCGTTTTAGTGCGCATTTGCCTAGTTATGAAGGAATCCACCAATGGGGGTAACCGCAGCGGTCTAACTGACTCTACCCATTCGATCTGCCTACGGACATCCAATTCTGACGTGATTTATACTTGTTGTCTATCTCTAAGAATAGGAGGCCTTGAAGTAGGCGAAGGGAAGTTCGGTGACGGGAAAATCAAAAGGTAGATTAAGGAAATTGAAGAATAGGGGGAGATACGTAGAGTATTGAACAGAATAGCATCGGATTTTAGCAGGGAAGAACTCAGTTGACCAAGTGTAGACATGGACTGGGATAGAAGGGTATAGTAATACTCTGAAGAGGGATTCTGCTCTGACGACACACAAGGTGGAGCAGTGCTGAAAGGATAAACCACGCGTATTGCCTACCTCCTGTATTGTCAGAAAGGAGAAATGCGCTGATATGAACATCAATTGCCCTGTTGGTACTAACAACTTCCAGAAATTTCAACCTTTCCAGGCAAACAGACAAACAGAAATTGAATGAGTTGAGAAACCCTTTAGATCTGCAGTTCTTGATTGGCAAGATAATTGCAGAGGCAGAGCTGAGGTAGTGCCAAGTGGCGCCGCTATCACAAGTACGATTATAGTATCGAGTCCCGTATTCAGCAAGGAAAATTCGTGTTTCTACTTTGGGAAAGCCTACCCACGTATATCACCGAGAAGGCAGGAGGGGAATTCAATGGTCTCTGCGACCCTGAAGGCCAGAGTGATTTTTTATGATGATTTTGATTGGGTCAGTAATCTTACAAGAAAGGAAGCATTCAGGCAAACTGACCATCAAACAGAAGGACAAACAAATGGATAAGTAGGTTCAAAAAGACATAAGAAGGTGGACAAGTGTTACCAGTAAAGCAATAAGGTGGAAGCTATTATCGACCAGTGTTAGAATAAAAATTGCACATCTTACCATCAAGTATTTTCAATGGCCTCGGAGCATTGATCGGCTTCACTAATGCATAGTACACTACCAAACCGCTGGCAACCACTACTACACCAGTAAAAGTTACCTGCAAAAATAACATTTGAGTGAATTATAAAAGTAAAAATTGCAAATTCAATTCTACCTAAGTATTCTCACTGTATGCCTAGTAAGTTAGCATGGATCAGAACTAGAATCCAACGACTTGTTTGATTCTTGCCGTCATACTACGCGTAGAGGCACTGGATGGCGCCTCCTGACCCATAATCAGCATCCCGATATTAGAAAGTTACCCTGTTTGCATACAGTCCTACACCCCACTCCAATTAGGAATCTAGGAACCGACTGTAAATTTGCTCCCAGTGATAGAAGAGCATATTAACAAAGAGGAAGCAAAAAAAAAAGATCAAAACTCACTATTGGCTCTTCAACGAATGGTACAAAGACCAGTACAATACTAATGATCAAGAAGAAAATTGTCAAACCAATAGGTATCCTGATTGCATCTGCAAATAAACAAAAAATCAATAACCAATGTAAAACTTACAACGATTTCGAGTGAAGCATAATGGATCACATCGTGCCCGTGCCCGAAAGGAACCATCAATAGGAATAGCAGTATAGACGGTGTCGGGGTTGAAACGGCTCGTTACCTACCCCAAGAGAACACAACTACCATTGAAATGCTTCCTTTTTTCCATCGACGAACTAGTATTAGCCCAAAATGGAAAATTCACAAATTGTTCATTCACAATCGAGGAAAAATACCTCGCTAATGCACGGAAATCCCCTTGGAAGTATATGGACAACAGGGCATCCAATGAATGGGCTGACACTCATGCACAAGGCCAGAAATGCAAGATGGCCGCATATTTGATCGCTTTTGCTTCTTCTATCCATGCCTCAGGGGTGGGCGTGGGTTCTCAAGATCGCAATGGGCTGCGTTGCGCGCAGAGTGAGCGGCTGAACGAACGTCTCACNGACCCTTTTGCTGCTTTCATAGTCCGCTGGCCGGCGCGCGCACTCGCGGGCCAGCCGGAGGACTATGAAAGCAGCCTTTGACCGTACGTTTCTCTGCTCTATCTTATCAACGACCATCAGCCAATCGAACAACCTAGGGGTATGTGCGTCGCAGGCGTAAAAGGCAGAAGAGTGTTCACTATAGCTCTGATGATTGATTGCAAATGAGGATGCTTATGTGTTGTTACCTAGCTGAACTGGTAAGTACCTTGGGTCTTTGAAAACATATTACGTGTTCCATAAATAGGTTTTTAAAGATTTGTGATGATGTGCTTATTAAGACATCCTTTCATTTTAAAACTCTGAAGCCTGCTCAGTGGAAAACTCCTGCAGGACAGAAGATTTCAGTGTATCGGCTCGACCACCGAACCGGATTACCGGCTTGAGGTCGTGATTGAATAGTAGATTTCTCCTCACAAAAATGAGGGTATAAACCCATCGAAATTCAAGTACAAAATATAAATACGATATGAAATTAAATATTAAAAATCGCTACGAAATTCTTACTTTGAGCAACCGGTAATTGAGCATAGCGTAGATACAGTAATGCTGCTATCGTAACAGCTTTTTGTGACCACATTACAAATGTCACATAATTAATTAAAGTGTCAATATCGACAAATGTCATCGCAAATGTACAGACCATCTAAAATTCAAGGGAAATCGATAAACATGCGGAAAAAATCAATCGGAATCAATACGCTCACTTGGCCAAGCAGAGCCGCTCGAGGACTGTTTGACGCTTCATGACGACAGCTCATAAATGTCGGTAGATGGCCTTCACGGGATGCAGCATGCATGAACCTTAAAAAGATCGATAATCGATTAGTCTTCCGGACGGCTTATGCTTAGAGCTGACATACCGTGATGCACAGAATAGGTTACTGTTTAAGGTACCAATGAGTAGTAAGGCTACCATAAATGGAATCGCATAGGAGAAGTTTCCCAAGGCTCTTTGGGAAAAGTCCTGAATGAAAGGAATTGTAAATCGTTTCCTCTATACTGTCGAAACTGATCTGTGGGCTCTGCACCTCAAAGAAAACTCAAGGTTCAAGTATCGTGAATTCTAGCCTGTGGCTTGCTAAGCTAGATTCGAGCCCGTGACCTCGCCTGGGAGGAAATGCGCCATTCGCTACTACACCATCACCGCCCTGTCCTGTATCTTTTATCGTGTGGCTTGCTGAACTACTCAAAAATGATCTTGTCAAGACTCTCTTCCGTTCATTCTAGGTAGATCAAAAACATTCAAATAAGGAGTTTTCGAACCTTCCGAAGGGGCAATTATCTAGAGTTAGGAGGCAGTATAAAATCAACAAAAATAAACAAATTCAATCAAAACTCGTTCCGAAAGTGAACTTACCGCCGCCACTGCAGTGCTATTTTTCATTTCATCCGGTGTCAGTATGACAAAATAAGATATGTTGATAGCCACATAAGTGATACAGACGATCAGTATACCCGTTATCAATGACAAAGGCATAGTACTGCAATAAAAACCATGAAATTCGAGAATTAGCCGATGACGGATCTATCCGGATTGCGCCATGAATGCTTCCATTATGTTAATACTGAATGGGTGATTAGTCTCGATTACCAGGGCTCTTTTTGACGAAACAGTTTACTTTTTCTGGCCCACTTCAGGCAAAACAGTGGTGAGGTACTGTAGTAGCAAATCCCATCCCTACACAAGACCTATTGAAACTTTTCTGGACCATTGTCTATGGGCTAGAAACTGAGATAATTTTGCCAGAACTCGATTCTCTAATCATGGGGCTGAGGCCCCATGATTAGAGAATCGAGTTCTGGCAAAATTATCTCAGTTTCTAGCCCATAGACANGGTGGTTCAGAAAAGATTCAATAGGTCTTGTGTAGGGATGGGTTTGCTTCTACAGTACCTCAACACCAGAAAGGATTCTGCGAAAGCCACGCCAGAACTCTGAAAGTACGGTAGATAGTATTTACCGTGTCGGCTTCTCGATCTCTGGCGTTCCATAGTTCAGTATATCCCAACCAGCGTAACTCCATAAACCACCGTAAAACGCAAGTGTCAATTTTCCAGGCGCCCAGACACTTCCTTCCATTGGGTGCTCCAAGTTCTTAGTCCAACCTATTTGTATAAAAACTGTAAATACAGTAACCTACAGAAATAAAGGTTTTTTCTCAAACCTCCAATAAATAAATAATAAAACCCTGCGAATACAATGATAGACATTGCAAGCATTTTGGCACTGGTAACTGCTACTTGAAAGGGAGCAGCATATTTGTCAAGTGCATAGAAATTCAGCACAACCAGTACGACTGAAAACAGTAATTTATCAGAAAAATGGTGTGACAAAAGGACCGAGTCGTGGGAGAGAAAGGGAACTGGACTCACCTAGAAGAATATAACCCATGGACCTTTCTGTGAAATCATGCCATGTCGGGTCAATCGGCATAACAGGGGCCAATCCATTAACTGAAGAAAACTCAGGTCAGCAAAGGAGAAATCAGGGAACAGAAAAAAGACCTGGATTGAAAACTCACTTATGTATTGGCCAAAGGTCATGGCTTGAACAGCAGCCGATGCAGGATATGTCACAAATACGGAAACCCACATGAATGCGAATGCAACAGCTTTCCATCCTACATACACCGTATAGGCGAAATCACAACCAGGTTCAGTAATTGAGGTTCCAAGTTCAATGTAACAAATAGCTCCTAAAAGAACAAAAAAAGGACTTTTCGAAAAACCTCATATAAAAAAAGTAGAGGAAAATACAATAAAAATAAACTGGATCAAGAGCACTCCCAAATGACTTTTAATATGTGAAGCCACTTAAAAGGCGAGGAAAAGCAAGGTCTCGGCAGTTAAGGGGATAAGCAGCTTGGCACCCCGGATTGAAGAAGTACGGGTTCAGGTCCCTCCCGAGAATGCATATTGATAATAATCCGCGAATCTTCGGATATAAAAACTCAATCACTCGAGGAAGCGACTCATATCGCTAGACGAAATGGTCGAGAAGAGATGGCTTGAACGTTATTTTGAAAAGAACCCGATCAATTCACTGTAGATGACTATGTATCGGAGAAACATCCCGTCCCGAACATACAGTATAAGAAAAAAGACAGATAATATTGCCCTTGAGAAAATCTGGGATGAATGGAGTTCTGTAAAGTCACTGCAAAAATTTGGGCCAAGCCGGTG